ACAGCAAAATTACCCAAAATAATACCAAAGTTATACCAAAATAACAGCAAAATGACCCCAAAATAACAGAGAACTTACACCAAAATAACAGTGAAGTATCCCCAAAATAACACCAAAGTTGCACCAAAATAACCCCAAAATAATATCAAAGTTACCCCAAAATGACAGCAAAATTACCCAAAATAATACCAAAGTTATACCAAAATAACACCAAAATAACCCCAAAATAATAGAGAAGGTACACCAAAAAAATAACGAAGTTACACCAAAATAACACCAAAGTAACCCCAAAATAACACCAAAGTTACACCAAAATAACACCAAAATAACAGAGAAGTTACACCAAAATAACAGTGAAGTAACCCCAAAATAAATCCCAAAATAACACCAACATAACACCAAGATATCACAAAAGTAACCCCAAGATAACCCCAAAATAACAACAGTCACACCAAAATAACCCCAAAATAACACCAAAGTAACCCCAAAATTACCTCCAAAACCTCCAAAATAACCCCCAAAACCACCAAAATAATGTCTCAGGGAGGTTTAGGGTGGGTTTTAGGGAAAAGTTCTTCCCCCAGAAGGAGGTGGGGCATGGGAACAGGGAATGGAGCTCCAGGAGTGCCCAGGGTGGGATTTTGGGATGTTTGGGCAATTTGGGAGAACCGAGGAATGACCTCAGACCCCACATCCCATTTGGGGTCTGGAAAACCCAAAGAAAGCCCCAATTCCAACCCTAAAATAGGAAGTGAGAGAGGAGAAGAGTGCCAAACTCACCTGTCTCTTGAGGACCAGGTGTTTGCCTTTCCAGTATTTGAGCATCTGCAGGGCCTGCAGGGTGCTCACGATGTCCACGGGGTTCACTGCTGTCTCCTGGCTGATTTCTGTGAGATAAAAACCCCAAAAACCTTGGGAACAGCCCCAAAACCTTGGGAACAGCCCCAAAATCCTGGGGTTCCACCCCAAATTCTGTGAGATCTCCCATAGAAATGTGGGGCGGGAAATTCGCTGTAGGGATTGTGGCGTTTGGGGATGCTGGGTTTGGGATTTGGGTTAAAAAACCTCTGAAAGGATTAAAAACCCTCTGAAAGGACAGAATCCCATTTTTCCAGGATCACAGCCCCATAAAATTCCACATCCTCCCAGAAAAGTGCCATTAAAACAACCCCAAATATTTTCAATATCAGCAGCTGGAGCCGTTTATCTTTCTAAAATCAACATTGGTGGATTAATATTTTAAAATTTTGGCTGAATATTTTTAAATGGTGATTTTTTTTTCAGCCAAAATGCAGCTCCCAGAGCTGCTCCCACCTTTGATGGAGATCTCCTTGCCCTGGAAGTTGTGCAGGATTAAAAACCCTCTAAAAGAATTAAAAACCCTCTGAAAGGACAGAATCCCATTTTTCCAGGATCACAGCTCCATAAAATTCCACATCCTTCCAGAAAAATGCCATTAAAACAACCCCAAATATTCTCAATATCAGCAGCTAGAGCTGATTTTCCTTCTAAAATCAATGTTATAATGCACAGGTGGATTAATATTTTTAAATTTTGGCTGAATATTTTTAAATTGTGATTTTTTTTTTTTTTCACCTTTGATGGAGATCTCCTTGCCCTGGAAGTTGTGCAGGTACCGGAGCAGAACTTCCTTCCAGTAACTCCTGTAGCTGATCAAACCCAGATCAGACAGAGGACGCTCCGGAGACCCAACTTTTTCTTCTACTTTAGACAACAAATAACCTAAAAAAATATTAAAAAATAATTTTAAATAACTCAGAAATTATCCAGGATGRAAACTGCTCGAGCAGCAGCAGCCAGGTGAGATTTGCTGGTGGAATTGGAGGATTTTTGGTGGAATTTCTCTCCMCACTTACTGAAGTCAATGAGCATTTTGCCGTAGCCTTGTCTCATGTACTGGGGCATGGTCAGGATGCAGGACACGTTGTAGTTSAGGAAGGAATTTTTTTCCTGGAAAAGACAGCAGAGAAGAGGCACAGAATTCAGAATTTTTGTTC